AAGCTGCTTATTCAACAACTACATTTTATAGACCATTTGGTGCGTTCTCCAGTATTTCGTCTAAAACGAAATTGAACAGGAATGGTGAAACGAGGTACCCTAGACGAACAACCTACTTAGCTCGCTATATACCCTTACTCGACCAGACGCATCCATTTTCATTCTACTTCTTTTTATTGAATATATATATATATATATATATAATGAAGGGAGAAGAGGGTAATTAAAGGATTGCCATACAACACATAATGGGGAAAGTTAGTCGATAGTGATTCGAATATACATCCTCTGGAGTGATAATTTGTTGACCCTCACCACTAGGCCACCACCGCCAAGTGCGTGAGTTCAGTGACCTCAGTTAACGTACTTCCGAGACATTCCTTTTGGAAGAAGGGAACCCATAATGGCTTCGCAGTCAACTGAGTTGAAGGCTTCTCTTGGGTCAAGGAACACTAATCGTTGACCGACGGTGGGTGTGACGGGGCTTGAGGACCAGAAGCAATGTAAAAATCTGAACAATACATTCACGACCAGACCGGAAACCGGCTTGCGGGTGTTGGTCCCTCTTAAAGGAACCAGACGTCGAACGATGACGGAGACCAACACCTTGGTGAAGATTGGGATCAAACTTATCCCGCAGTGGTTTGCGCAGTCGTTGCGAGATCCCGCCTTGAAAATGGGAACGATCGGCGATTCGCCACAAAATGAAGGATAGCGCTCTTGCGACCGGATTTTTTGCAGCAGACCAGCAATAAAATAATAAAATAAAATACACTACGTCTAACTCAAGCAAACAACACTGTATGAGAACCCAAGACCACGAATTTATCCCAAGAAAACGATTAAAAGAACGTTTCAAATCAAGACTCACTGGGCCGATGGCATTCACAGGTTTACGGAACATTTGGATTGATTTGATTTTTTTCTGAATTCTTTCATGGGGCAGCTCTATCACCTGGAGGCACACAAGGTTAGAAACATGAGAAGCGAATGGGGAAAGATCATACGAATACTCGGTTCTGGAGGGCAAGTCGCTCAGTATTCAGTTGCATATTTCACTCTGAAGTTCGATCGGAAACGCTAAATCACCAACCGAAGTATAAAAGTAAGTGCATTTGGGTTAGCGAGAAAATGAACACGGAATGGCGTAAAGCCGTTATTATTTAGAAGAACGAAAATACGTCCCAGTGCGAGAACCGCAAAAGCATGAGGGGATAAGTAACACCGTGTCGAAACTGCTAGCTAGGACTTTTTCACAGACGTCAGTGTACCGTGAGCGAAGTGTAAGTGCACGATAATCACACGAACTATTTTTATTTGATTAAGGGTGCATCAAATACTTCTTTACCCTGCAGCCGACCATCCCTCTTTTGATCAAGAGTTGTCGCCCTTGGCAGTTCGTGTTACGGAAGTTCGCTTTTCCTGTTTGAAATTATTTTCTATCTAAGCGGCAAAAGCTGAGTTTGTAGACAAGAAACTTTGATTGACCAAGTTTACCGTGGGAAGTGGTAGGTATTAAGATCAACCTCAATGTCTGCTTCTGTTTGGCCTTCTGACTGATTGACTTTGAGGAAACCATTCCACATTCTTACGAGCATAGATGCGTTGACTTAGTCTGGAGGAGCAAGTGGTTAAACTGAACGTTTCTCTGCAATTTGAAGATTTCTTGCACCTGTAATATTCAATGTGACAAGACAAACCCATATAAAACTTCATTTCACCAGGGATATGAAGCGGATAACTGGACCAGATGTGCTACTTGAGCAGTTACATTGCTGGTGATGAACGAGTTTAGGATTGGGGGTGGCACCGCAAGTATCAAACGTCTCATTTGGCTTTATTCAACGTTATGCGTCTGAGATACCGTCGAGATTTTCGTTAACACTTAAAAGATCGAGCGTATTTTGCGGCTATTCGCCCGGTTCTACTGTAGGACACAAAAAGATGATGTGTGGGTGTGGAAAAGTTTTTTTGTATATGATTGGAGTAATTTGATTGAGTTTAAACACAGATTGCTGGGTAAAGGGGATTAGGGAAGAACGCGGCCAATTGATCATGGTTAACCGTTTTGCACACACATTTGTAACGGGTATTTTCTCGCTACAGGACGTTTGCTCTGTCAAATAGTAACTGAAGGGTCAGAAGTGAGCAAACCGCGTGCCGGTATGGAGAAACAGAATTCGCGGTTGAAGCATGTAGTGTTGTGCTGGATGAAGGGGACCTCAGAGATGGCTAAAAAGAAGCTCAAAAATAAAGACACGGCCGAATAACGAAAAACACGGTTCAAATAATGACTTACTTTCCTCACATATCGGATTAGTTCAGGTTATACAGATTCATCCACTCCTACAATCTTTTCCTTGTTTGCTAAACATGTACATTGCTAAAAAGACATCAACCAAACCTAGAGCAAGAAGCGAAGAAAGTAACGGTTCAACGGAAACTGGATCCAGTTATCACCTCGAAACATTCACTGAGATGACTGGAGAGAACTGAAACAATCAGCGGTGCTATGTGTTCATGAATAAGACTAGTCACATCAATATGAATCACTGCATTACTCAAGCTGTTTCCAATCTTCACCGGGTAATTGATAAGTGGACTTCAATCCGCTACCAAAAACAGCAACACGCAGATGCAGCCAGAATGGAAATAGATGCAACGTGCTCTAATTATGATAGTCTATACAGATAAAGAACACATCATTTTACTCTGTCTCAACCTTCAGTAACTTTGCAACTGAAATCGCAATCTTCAGTCCAGTTGTCTTACACGATTAGTGAAATGTGATCATGTTACTGGTAATGAGTATCGCACCGTCCCTTTGTGATCCTTTACAATATTTGCCACCAATTCTATTTGGAAGCAACCCCTATGCCAGGCATTTTGCACTGTTTGCAGGGCTCGGTTTGTTTGTTCCGCTTGAACGGCAAAATAAAAGGTTAGTAGAGGCTGAAACAAGTCCTTCGCATGTAGTGAAACAAAAGAGTGCCAGGCCAAGACAGTAAATTTCAATAATATCACTCGCTGGACATCCACATTTAGGACCCGAATGTCACAAGGAAGCCCAGTTTCGGACACGGAATTGATTTTAATCGACTAAACGATCACCTAAGGGTGACAAAAAGTGTTTTCGCGAAAAAAAGAAACTAGACAAAGGGGATAAACTCACGTCACCAACTCGTGTAGTCCCGGCCAGAACGGTTCCGGTCATGACTGTACCCTGGCCAGTCACCGCGAAACAATGATCCACGGCGAATAGGAAATACTGATGAGCAACCTTCTTGCGCTTGTCGGTCGGATCTGAGACTGTGGTCAGTAGCAACCGCATCAGAGCCTCAATATCAGTCCGGTTGGATTCCGATTTATCTGTCTGATTGAATTCGACCTGTGCGCAAAAGAGGGATGAGCTACTCGGATGGATCGTTTTATTTTGTTTCTTATTCAATAGATTGGAGTCTGCATCTGTTGCGAGCAAATCCAGATAATTATCATCATCATGTAGAAAAACACAGCGAAACAAACTTCACGGATAGCATAAAGCTCACGGTACACAGAAAGTAAATACTAGTGCATAAGATGCGTGAAAAGTGAATCTATTCTACGAGAAATGGAAAGTAAACCGTTGTGGTCAACACAAAAATTACAGATTAACTATACATACACAACTTTTCAAACAGTCTGGATTAATTATAAATGACAACAAGGACGCTACTGTTATCTATGCTTGGATGCCCACGGTTATCCCGTTAGAGAGCATTTCCAACCCAGTCCCGAACAGGCAAAAACTACTTTACCGAAGCTTTCGGGGAATGTTCATCTACACTATCTGTTAGCATCTAGAAGATGCTCTCCAACCAGAGGCCACGAACATGATAAGATGAGGTAGACGACTATTGAGCATGTGTAATTCGTTTCCGAACCAGCATGGTTCACACATACTTCTAGTCCTTCTGCAGGTGGAATTCGAAATCGTGCACATATTTCCCGGCCAATTAAGTACGCGAATATTGAGTACTTATCATCCTTGCATAGTATCAGTTCAGTTCATTTTCCACAACCATTAACCATGCACCTTCGTGAGGCGGTTTTGGCCGCTGTCTGTTAGGAACCCATTTTGATGAAGAAGAGAAAAGACAGGAAAGTTGAAAGTAGAGTCAAAAAGAAAACGGGGAACTTCAGTGGACTAAGGTTGTGAAGAAATTGAGAACATGCACGACCACTACTGTTCACGACACTGAGCCATTTCACTCAGTGTCTCTAAGGATTGCTTATGATCATCCAGAGGTCCCCAGACAGGGAGCCTTACGGGACCTATGTGACCCAGTTCCCTGGTTAAGGTTTTCATATCCTCCTGTCAGGTTTTAGGTAGACCACACTTGGCTTTTTTCCACCCATCATCTGCCTCAGCAAACATCACTCGCCGTGGCAACCTATCTGCTGACATGCGTAACATATGCCCTAACCAACGTAGTAAATGGAGGTCGACCACTTGCTCCAATGGACGACCGCGATTACGTAAAACTCTACTACTAACCTCAGCATTGCTCGTCCGGCTGCCACACCAGACACGTGCAATACTGCGTGGACAGAAGTGTTTGAACACGGACAACCTTTTTTATCTTATTCTGCAAGTGGCCAAATCTCTGCAAAGTGGAGCAACACTGGTCGAACTGCTGCACCATATACTTGACCCTTCACAGACAGCTGAATGTCCCGATGGCGCTACATGTCTCAAGTTGGCAAATGCCAACCGGGTCTTCTGTATACGCGCCGACACTTTATCTGTGATACGTCCACCAGGTCAGATATAGCTGCCCAGATAGATAAACAATCCTCATCTCTTGGGCCTCAATCTGGAGCCTCCGAAAGTCTCAGTATAGTCGCGGGTGGGCGTCTAGGGTTGCGGCTGGTCACCATTCCCTTGCACCTCAAAAAATGCTCCCATTCGACCAAGCGTCTCAAACAGCCTCTGCTGAGGAAACCCTACTCACTACCTTTTCACGGCGGAGGTATTTTCCCACCAAAGTGAGCGGACGAAAAGCCGATATCCGAGGCTATAAACGGGTTGTGGATCCCTGGTAGTTCACCTAGGGGAGTTGGCCAAAAGCCCTGATTCCAAA